GGAGGAGGAGGAGGAGGAGGAGGAGGAGAAGAAGAAGAAGAAGCTGTTTGCCTTTTACAGTGTGAAGGAACAAAGGAGGAAGCTGGAGCAGGGGTGGACGGCCTCTGACTCCGTTGTGTCAGGCTTAGCAGCAGGTAAGTAGCGAGGCAGCATTAGCTCTCGCCAGCTGTACTAAGTCCTCCTCCTCATCATCATCAAATACGTCTCACAGGACTGGAGGGACGGCTCAATCATTAAGAGGACCAGAGTTCAGATACCAGCATCCACACTGGGTGTCTCAAAACTGCCTGGAATTCCAGTCTAGGGGATCCAACACCCTCTTCTGGACTCTGAACAACCCCCACACACAAATAAAATAAAATTTTAAGGCTATGTGTGGGTGGAGCACACCTTTAATCTCAGGCAGAAGCAAACAGATCTGAGTTCGAGGTCAGCCTGGTTTATAGAGTGAGTTCCAGGACAGCCAAGGCTACACAGAGAAACCCTGTCTCAAAAAACCAAAACCAGAATATAAATAAATGACATTATGTTTTTGTGTTAAGTATGTGTTTATGTGTGGACCCACATGCCCCACAGTGTGTGTGTGTGTGTGTGTGTGTGTGTGTGTGTGTGTGTGTGTAGGTCACAGGACAGCTTTTGGGAGTTGGTTCTCTCCTTCCACCACGTGGGTCCTAGGGATCAAACTGAGCCATCTTGCTAGCCCACCAAGCTAATTTTGCTTCTATAGATGTACCTATTTTGGATAGTCTCTATGTGAAATGTCTCCTAGGACATATGAGCTAATTTTTAGTTACTGTAGTTTGACAGATAACATTTCAAGTCAGTAAAAAAATGACCTTTAGATCTGGGCATAGTGGCATGTGTGCATGATGCTGGTGGGAATCTGAGCCAGAAGGACAGAGCAAGGGTATCTTGGACAACATAGCATAAGCTATATAGAGAGGGGGCGGATTTAAAACATAGTACTGGCCTCTGGAAATCTCTTATTAGGTTCAAGTGACTTATTCCTACTACTGCTTAATTAAAGTAATTTTCTTTCAGAGACCAGGTCTCACCCTGTAGCCCTGGCAGGCTTGGCATTTGCTATATAGGCTGGTCTGGTCTTGACTTACAAAGACCTGACTGCGTCTGCCTCCAATCCTGGGAGCAAAGGCACTTCCATACCTGGCAAGCTGATTTCTAGGGACCTCGGAGACATTACAACCAGCCTTCCAGAAGTGGAAGGGATTATAATGGAACAAAATGATCACTAATACATCAATAAATCTGATAAAAGAGAAAATCTGAATAGATCTATCATGAGCAAAGAGACTGAACTGATAATGACAAAATTATCACACACACACACTCCAGGTCTAGACTGCTGCATTGGTGAATCTGAGCAAACATTTAGAGAAGAATCATATCGGTTTTTTTTTTTTTTTTTTTTTTGGTTTTTCGAGACAGGGTTTCTCTGTGTAGCTTTGCGCCTTTCCTGGGACTCACTTGGTAGCCCAGGCTGGCCTCGAACTCACAGAGATCCACCTGGCTCTGCCTCCCGAGTGCTGGGATTAAAGGCGTGCGCCACCACCGCCCGGCTTATATCGGTTTTTAATAAACTCTTCCAAGGAAAAAGCAGAAGCTATAACACTTCTAATCCTTTCTGTGAGGCAAGAAAACTCCGATCTCAAAACCAGAGAAAGAAAACAGTTTGCCAATGTCTTATAAATAGAGTCAGAGGCTCTCAGAACAAAATCCAGTAACATAAAAAGAACAGCACACCATGACCAGTGAGGCTTCCCCAGGAACGCAAAGTTGGCTTAACATTTAAAAGTAAAATAATACACTATGTTACTAGAATAAAGGAGGGAAATCCACATAAGATCTTAACAGAGGGTTTGGTGAGATGGCTTATGAGTAATGATACTTGCCATGCCGGCCTGACCTGAGTTTAACCCCAGATCCCACTCATGGTGGAAGGAGCGGGCTGATTCCCAGCAGCTGTCCTCTGATGGCCACATGTGTGCTGCAGTGTGCGTGCATGCGTGTGTGCGTGCATGCGTGCGTGCGTGCATGCATGCATGCGTGTACCTGCACTCACATACACATCATATATATAATATCAATAAAAATAAGATAGGGGGCTGGAGAGATGGCTCAGAGGTTAGGAGCATGGACTATTCTTCCAGAGGTCCTGAGTTCAATTCCCAGCAACCACATGGTGGCTCACAACCACTTGTAATGAGATCTGGCTCCCTCTTCTGGCCTGCAGGCATACATGCAGGCAGAACACTGTATACATAATAAATAAATATTAAAAAATAGTTTTAAATTTTTGATGGATGCAAAAAAGCCTTTAAAAATGTCACATCCTTTTATAGTGAAAATCATGAAAGCTGTTGAGGTGGCTTACTTGCTGCCCAAGTCTGGTGCCTGGAGTTTAATTCCTAGAACCCAGGTAAGGGTGAAAGGAGAGAACAGATTTCACAAAATTGCCTTCACATCTTCATGAGTGCCATGGCATGCATGCACCTTCAGTAATGTGTAAAAACAGTCTGGGCATGATGTCACTCAAGAGGCAGAGACAAGTGGATCTCTGTGAGTTCCCAGCCAGCCAGGGCTACATAGTGAGACCTTGTTGCCAAAAACAAAACAAAACAACACTCAAGAAGCTAGGAACTCCCTGCCTGATATACAACCTTGAAGTTGAAAACTGCTGAACAGCGTCTTTTCTATTGCTGTGATAAGTCATGGCGATCAAGGCAACTTATAGAAGAAAGAGTTTATTTGGGGCTTATAGTTTCAGAGGGTGAGTCCATGACCATCACGGCAGGGAGCATGGCCACAGGCAGGCAGGTGTGACCTTGGAGCAGTAGCTGAGAACTCATATTTCAAGACAATCATGAGGCAGAGAGAGACTCAGAATGAAGTGAGTTTTTTGTAATCTCAAAGCTCACCCCTCCTTCCTGCCCTCACAGCCCCACCCCCTCACCCCGTGACATACCTCCTCCAATAAGGCCACACCTCTCAATCCTTCCTAAACAATTCCATTAACTGAGGACCAAATATTCAAACATATGAGCCTATGATAGGTATTCTTATTCAAACCACCACAATCAGGGACCAGAAAAAAAAGATCTTACTCTGTACTGTACTGGAAATTCTATTTAGGGGTGCCAGGGCAGTATGCCACACATGTACACTGACTCTCCTCAGCCTCTTGCTTGCAACCTACACATGCACTAG